GACTCTGACCTGAGTTTCAACAGTCACATTAAAACAGTTACTAAGACTTCCGGTTTGGCTGTATACTGAGTAGTCACGTTTTTGAGAGGCTCCGCTTCCTCCTCAGAAAAATATATAATTTAACAATACATTTCTTCGTGAGAGGCCTGCAAAAGTCGGCAGTATAAGCTGTTGAAGCGTAATGTATTGTTAAATTATATATTTTTCTGAGGAGGAAGCGGAGCCTCTCAANGCTGTGCCTTCTCCAGCTGTCTTGCCAGCAATTTTCTGAGTTGTCTCCTAAATCAAATTGCGGTCTGTTTAATTCTGGTTCATCTGTTACTAACCTGAGCAGATACAATTGTGTTATATTCATTCTTGGAAACTATAGAGTTTAATGTGTCAGGTCTCCGGAGCTCTGTATGAACGTTCTACTGAGACACACCTCATCCAGCGCCCTACTAAGCCTCCTTTCTCTTTGTTTTTCTCGTACCACCTTACATAGTATATATCGCTGCCCCGAAACACTGCTTTTAATGGATTCCCATAATACTGAATCATCCCCACAGTCACCTGTCGTTTGTAGCTATAATATCAGGCAGCTACTGACCGACATAGTATTTTTAGAAAAACTTTCTATTTAAAGTTGTGTGTCGAATCTCCAGGTGTGTTCGACTTTAGTTGGCTTAAATCGAATATTCCGAGTGACATGGAGCATGATCCTGATCAAGGATTGTTTTGGTATTGGTAGTCGCTACACTTAGAGATCAGCTAGATCAAACCAACATGAAGTCAATCCTGAATAGGATGTTATGCACAGATTTGAGAAAAAAGGGAAGAATCTCTGGCAGTAGGTTAAGTAGCCTCCAAATATCAACTACATTTTAGGTTATGCATAGTATGTTTAAACTCCTCGCTGGCATTTACTGTTCACGGACGACCTTTGGATTGCGTATCTAGCAAAGAGTCCAAGACGCAATTAAAGGTCCCCGTCCCATATTAATGTTGCGTCGAGAGCGAGCGTGGAATCCATTCAAAAACGCTAAAAAATGCAGGTCATCAAAGTTTGGATTATAAATGGTTATAATTATTAAAATCTGCCATTGATCATCTGAGCGGTACTCCTAGTTCAAACGAAACATTCTTATATGATAATGGCTACCCTCTCTAGCTCTGCACCGTAGTTTGACTGGTATAATTTCGGGGTCCCCATCCCTACGTAGTTTGTCTTTAGCCGTATTCTTAATGTGTGTCTCTTGAAGATACATAACATCAAGCTTTCAAACGTTTCAAGTGAGCCATTATCTTCCCTCTCTTAACTGGGTGATTCAAACTTCTTACGTTCCAGCTTACTATCCTTGTGATATCACCGTAATTCAATGACATGACACGATCCCATGCTTATTGATAACTATTGTGAAAACATGAACTCAATGTAAGGCAAAGAGAAAAAACACAAACCGCCATTAATTGCAAAAAACCATAGTATATGAACTGCCGCTGGTGAACCCGAATACAAACCAAAACACTGCGCTGTCCTCCGGGCCCTCTGCATCCCTCCTCCCACTCCCCTCTGAGAACTAACACCCCCAAGTCCAAACTTCCGAGCCGTAACGATACCATAATAGAACACGTACATGTCCGCTCCTTCCTCACCTGCAGAGAGTAATCAAATGCGTCTCAGCTTTAAAGTTAACTGTCATCGTTGTCCTTAATCCTGGTTAGCTGGTCTAACGTGACACTTGCTTGTCATCCAGAAACTTCTCGGCATCCTTCGGGTTGTTAAACGTGCGCTTATCTTTCATCACTGCTGGGCCCAGGTCAGGGAAAATAAAGATGCGTGCTCCCTCATGTTGTAAAGGGAACTTATGTGAGGAAAGTCTCAGTATCAGCTCCTTTACTGAGTCATGATGGATGCGGGCGATTAGTTGACGAGGAGGGCCATCTGTTGCTGCTGCCCGTACACGGACCCTGTGTGCGCGGTCAACCTTAACAGGTTTATTGTCGAAGTTATCTTCCCCCAGTAGTGCTGGTATACATTTCGAAACAAAGTCTGTTGGGTTGCCCTTTTCCATGCCTTCCTTAACACCTATTATCCGAATGTTTTGTCGTCGAGAGCACGAGACGAGGTCTTCCACCCGTCCGTTGAGCAACCTGGCTTCCTCAGCCCATCTTGAGCACTGGTCTTCCAAAGCTTTGATTCGGGTCTCGTGTTCGTTCAGTCCACCTTCGGTAGAAATTACTCTCTGTTCTACCTCGCCCAGTGACTGTTTCAGACCAGCTATGGAGGCATTGAGCAACTCGAACTTCGAGTCTACATTTTGATTTAGCTGATTGATAGCTGCCATGATGTCCGTCCTCGTCGGAGCCTCGTCCTGATCGCTGCTATCCAGCCTGGTGCTAGCGCTAGCCTCATCGCTTGATTCATCCGTCGTAGTTTGTTTCTCGGCACTTTTGTTCCTTTGCGGTTTCCCCATGTCTCTGTTACGCTTCAACAGCTTATACTGCCGACTTTTGCAGGCCTCTCACAAAGAAATGTATTGTTAAATTATATATTTTTTGAGGAGGAAGCGGAGACTCTCAAAAACGTGACTATTCCATATCCAGCCAAACCGGAAGTCTTTTTACTTTATTTCGTTCTCAGTTTTTCATTGTATTGTGTATTATGCCTTGAGAGCATATTATGTTGTCAAAATGCAAAACATTTTAGTGTATTAGTCATTTTCATAACCCTTATTTCATATGAAATGTCCCATTTCAAGAAAAGAATGACCCGAGATTGAAAGTGATATCTTTGCATGATTCTTTGTGGAGAAACTGATCTGTTGCACAAACCCAAAAATGAATTAGTCACCCAAAGCGTATGAGTGTTGGTGGAAGACTAATAAGAGTTTCTTTTGTAAAGACGGCCCTAACACACACACACACACACACACACACACACACACACACACACACACACACACACACACACACACACACACACACATGAACACTTTATTTGGTTCCACAAATTATATTACATAAGACAGGGAATCAAATATA